CTGATTTATAATGCCTTGGAATGTATTCACATGATCTGCAATTAGAATGCCCTCTTTGTACCTCAAGCACATCAATTGTTTGATCAAGAACATCTTGTTTGTACCTTCTTTCCGGGCAAACAACTCTTCCAATTTCTGCCATAAGGTGCGTGCATGTGTCTTATCAATGATATGGTTCAAAACATTGTCATCGACCCATTGCCGGATGAACCCACAAGCTTGGCGATGAAGTACCTTCCACTGACCTTCCTCAATGCCCTCCGGCATCTCAGTGGAGAACACTGGCTTCCAGTATTCTTTCACATACAACAAGTCCTCCATCTTGCCCTTCCATGCTTGATAATTTGTACCATTCAAAGATATCATCCTACTGGTATTCACTTCCATCTTTCACCACAAGAAACTCAACAATTTGCATAAGTAAACCTGGCTCTGATACCACTTTGTTGGGGCTGGACAGCAACAATGCGCTGCACAAATTCACCGACACGGCAAATATGCACACTACACAGTCCCCTTCACTTGTGATAAACTTTGAGGACAGCTTCAACCAACAAGTAAGCAGCGGAATAACACAAACAACATGCACATATGACACAGGATTTAGCGTGGAAAAACCTCCTCAACTTGAGGAGTAAAAAACCACGGCTGTGGACCGACCGGTCCACACAACTTCACTATGAGAATGATGAGTACAAAGTCTGCTCTAGAACCTCTAGAGAGATTTACAACACACTCTCCACGTTGCCAACCGGCAACAGCAACAACAACCACAAGAAGGAAGATTTCAGCAAAGCAGAGTTTACACAGCTTCTGTACCCTTCAGTGTTTTGCAAACTTCTCTTAAACCGCTGAACCAAACAGCACCAAATTTGGCAGACAAGTAGACACATGATTTCTTGACATCCCCTCCAAATTTCAGCTCAATTGGACATCAATTGCCTACCCAAACTGTTCGCCTCCCAAAACTACTCTATTCTGAAACTGCAGTAGTCAGAGCTGACAAAACCACTCTCAAATTAGATACTCCACTGACCCAATCCTCAAACCAGCTAACTATATCAAAATACTCAAAGTAAGGAACGAGCTCACCAAGTTTGAGGTCGATCCAAGCACATTTGAGCCTCCAACCACTAGCTTGACCACTGTCTAGTCAGATACAGCAAATCTAGACAGAACCTCTGCTTCTTCTTCTTCCTCTCTCTCAGGTTGTGTTTTCTCTTGTGTGCTCTCACTCTCACTCTCATGAATGGCAGCCACCACCAGCAAGGGTGGAGTGGCTAGGGCTTTCTCCTTGCTCCCTTCACCGGGAAATACTCACAACCGTTGGATGCAGAACAGATCAACGGTTCATATGTGTTGGACTTGTGTGGGCTGATGTTGGGCTGCCAACACACCTCCATGTGGAGGGCCTTTGCCCAACACATCAGACCAACGTATATGTAATCAAATTGGTTGCTTCAAATTTTGTTGGGGTATGTGCTTTCACTGATTTACCTCAAATTGGCTGCTCTTTACAAATATCCTTCAGTACACCGCAAATGGTTGTAAGCAGTCTCAGTTCAACTAACAATATTGTTAGATACTAAGTACTTCTACCGATCATCAATGTAAACTATCCCAACTCTATAGTAGTTCTAGCAAATAATCTGATAGAAAATAATCGATTTCAGAAAATATCTGCAAAACTTGTAAGTTTACGCAATTCTGTTGTTTTAATCTTTGCGCTAAGAATTTCCATGCCTATATTTTTATAGGTATTCCTAGCAATTCGATTGTACACTGAAATTTAGGTGCTTCTTGAGAGCTTACTGTACAATAAAATGATCTACCTTGCAATACCATTTTTCTCACAAATGAAGAAATTCAGAGCATCTAAGTCTTAAATTTATCTGCTAAATTATTGAAATTTATACTTCATGTTTGGGGTTCTATTCATGAGCACTAGGCACTTCTCGACACTGCCACAATTATTCTAGAACCTCTTTAAATTTGCAGTGCTCATCAGACGATGACACGTGTCCAATACAAGTTTTCCAGTCACCTATTCAGATTATTGACTTTGGACGATATTTTTAGTCCTACTGAGTTTGCAAAGGATGCGCCAAGACAAGATTAATGATGATTTTTGTAAATTGCATCGGTTTACTTGTGTACCTGCTCCTTAGATGATAGTGATTCAATCATGGAAATTTCGGTGCTTTCTTCGAGTGTCTGGAAAAATGATTCAACGTGTGTTTGCCAGAAAGTGTAGATTAGCAAGACTATAACGCGTGTTGAGCATGTCAGTCTATGTGTGGGCAGGAGTGAAACTGTAGATTATGCTAGAGACGAGTATCTAAAAAAATGTCTTTGAGACGGCACTGCTGCTGGTGCTCCTTTTATGGGCAAAGTGGAGGCTGCAGTTCAAGGACTTCAAGGAGGAAAAGAATACATGGTTACTTCTTGGAGAGGTGAGTTTCCTTGCAGAAAAATAAATCTCTAGAGTTGTTTAACTGAATCTTTTCCATTGTCATTGTTATGTTGAAATAAAAAAATTTGCATGAATTGTTATTGGTCACTCAATTCCTAAGCCGTTGTTGGTTAATTTGAAATTGGATTGTACTCCAAGAGTCCATAAGATGTCATTTCCAGATGTGGTGGCTAATTTCAGAACTTAGCACCATTTTCTAAAAATAGGGTTGGGCAGTATGAGCCAAACACATGGGAGGATATTTCAAGAGATGAACTGATTGTAGTTGCCGAATTGGTATTAGTAAGTTCCTGTTCCAACTTCCTAGAGAATCACAGGGGTTCTTTGTTATCTAAAAATGCTTCTAATGTGTAATTCATCTAAGGAGTCTTTTAGTGTTTGATTCAGCCCTCCTGCAAGCGGTCATCTTTGAGCTTTCCATTGCCTCCGGTGAATGTCATCTTCCAGCTTGTGACCTTGCCCCCAAGTTTTTTCTTACTGTAGTACGCCACAAATGGTTTTCTATTGGTTATTTTAACTGACCAGAATACTCCAAATAGAAACCGTGATAATAAGATTGCCCCGTTTTGTGTTTTCTACAGAAAGTAGCCTCCATGCTTCTCAAATCTGGGTGCTGTTTTGTCCAGAGGCTTTCATTTACAAAGAAGCACATTGATGGAGAAAAAAGGTGTGGTGAAAGGCAATCTGTTTCAGGTACCTCTGTACTGATTAAAACATATGAGCAAGGTTGCCAAAATGATATTCTATCTCATAATGTTTTCTAAAACCCGACCTCATAAATTTTTTTGTGTTAATAAGAATACCGTACATATTTGTTCTCTACGTCTTTTTGTCCAAAGGTTTTGGTTTCATTATCTTCATTGTGTTGGGATTTTAGAAGGATTGAGCAGTCACATGGCAAGTACAAGGAACATCATCACTACAACAGAGAGGTTGAAATAAGAAGTTGAGGTGATCAATCAAGGCAATAAATTGTATATATTCTTTTGAATGAAGAGGTACCTATCTCCACTGTTTCAAAATCAAATATCAGAATGGTGCTTTGGTTATTTTACTATTATTTGTTGCAGTGCATGGCGACGCTGACGAGCACTTGTGTTTTTGACATGCTGAGCGTCTGTTTTTGTCGACCTTTGATTCATATCTAAATTCTTTGGAAATGTATCATATGAAATGTGAATTCATAACTCTATAGTTCATGTAATCTATATTATGTATAATCTCAATAATGAAATACCTATTAATATGAAATTATTTTTTCATTCGTATCTTATTTTTCCTGATGGTTATAACAGACTAGGATATATCACTCCCTGCTTTGCCAAACCAATTTTTTAAACACTATTTTGCCAAACCTGACACCCACATAACCCTTGCTCACGTTTGAACTATGTACTCATCATTTAAATATCTCACTAAGCTTTTTTCGCATGGTTTGACGTGCATTGCACCTGCACACTTACTAGTGAAGAAAAAGCATGGCTCTATTTGCTTGTGTGAATACCACCCACTGAACAAAGGACCAAGTACGTATGCATCTTCTGATTCCACCATAAATTTCTGGGCTACAAATTATTGAGATGTATCCTCACAATCTTCAAATTGTTACAGTTTAAGCGTCTGGATTCTGACATTTTAAGCCCCGTAGTTAGATTGTAAATCGTGTGTACAATGTTTTCGAGGAAATTTCTAGTCTTGGAAGGCCTTTGAAGACCCCATTCCTTTTAGTGGCCGGAACACAACACTCATCGAATACCCAAACAAATTTTATTATTTTGTGATCTAACTTATTGATGCTGATATGCTCCTGTTATCCAATATACATGAATTTCTATATATCTAAATTGTTGATCCCAGCTACCTAAAATTCTTTTATATGCAACTATGCCAACTTAATATATCATCATGCATGGGAAAGGAACCACCTTAATATGTATCACATGTGCTACTTATATTAAAATAATAATTTACATTTATACAATAATCTATAGTATAATAAATTATATGTATTTTACTAACAATTCTTGTATTTTTAATTTAAATACTAATGTTGCATACAACCAAAGCCCATTGAAACAATTACAAGCCATTCCTGTGGCACTTCATGGAGTATCTTCTCTAGTATTTTATGATACAACAACAAATTTTGTGCGTTTTGTGAATTTCTCACTGATCATCATATAAATTTTGGATTCACCAGACTTATCTGCCACAAGAGTTGGCAGTTTCTTTCTAATGAGATAAAATGAGAGACGAGGTGGATTTCTAGTCATAGGCTTGTTTTTCAATTCACAAAGCGTATCTCCTCGTATCCAGCAGAACTTGCAGTTTCAACTTCCATATTATGAGCCGAACTTAGAATTTTTGAATTCACAAGTCCTATCTCAATAGATCCGGTAGAACTTGCACTTTCTACATTCATGTTGTGAGCTGAACTTTCACTGGAATAAGAGTTAAGTGTGTAGGTCAAGTTATTGCATAATAATAATTGCATAGAAAAACAGAGGAACAACATGGGAGTAATATCTTACAGTAATTCATAGAAATTCTGCTTTGGCGGCATGTCCAGATCATCTAAGCTTCTCTCAAACATTTCTAGAACATTTGTTATAGTAGGGCGATGCACAGGTAATACTTGTATGCACCACAAGCTGATTAAGATCATCTTTTTCGCGATTTCCTCAATTCCGGTCGTGACTTTACATGCTTGTAATCCAACTTCTTGATCAAAGTGGCCGTAAATCCAATCTGGAAAATATTTTTCACTAGAATTTGTAACAGTTGATTTTACATTTCTCCTACCTCCAACCATCTCTAGCAGCATCATCCCATAACTATAAACATCTGACTTAGTTGAAACCACCCCAAAGGTTCGAGAGTAAACTTCTGGGGCAATGAATCCAATTGTTCCTCTAGCTCCCGTCATTGAAAGCTTGCTCTCCTTTGTATGACACAATTTAGCTAGACCAAAATCAGCAATCTTTGGGCTAAAATCTTTATCTAGAAGGATATTCTGAGGCTTGATATCGAAATGGACGATGCGTGTGTTGCAGCTATGATGCAAGTAATCAAGGCCTCGAGCAATCCCGATTGCTATCCCATAGAGCCTCTCCCATCCTAAAATTTCCTTGGCGTTCTCTGAGTAAATGTATTTATCCAAGGAACTGTTGGGCATGTACTCATATATTAGAGCTTGTTTTGATCCCTCTAAAGAAAACCCAAATAAGCTAACAACATTAACATGAGAGGTACTTCCAATGCTCATAACCTCATTCACAAACTCGTCCCCATTTTCTTTGCAGTCATGCAAGAATTTCACAGCAACCAGGCGGCCATCATGCAGTCATCCTTTAAAAACCACACCATAACCACCTTCTCCTAGCTGATTGTTGCGAGAAGATGTTATCTTCATTACCTCTGAGTACTTGTATCTTGTTGGAGCTAGGGGTCCATGGGATACTATCATGACCTCATAATTCTTTTCAGTGTTACTGCTAGTTTTCTTGCAAATGAACCTCAGTCTTTTCCCCTTTCTATGCCATATCAGCACATAAAGACATGTAAAGAGCAAGGTTGCAGCAGTTGATGTCAAACCTGAGATGAAAGAAGATGTTATTTCCTCTTGCAAACCAGAAGTTATAGTAGCCATTGTGATTTCCAAGACCATCAGTAGTTTAAATTTCTCTTTCCGCAAGATTACATCATGGCAAAGTAGCAACAAGCTATCATAATTTGCTCAGTTTTGTAAACTGAGAGTTGCTTGTTCAAATTGTACTTTTAGAATCGTCTTTCAATTATAACAGACATGATAAATTTTAAAGTTACTATTTTGTCATGGAAAATCACTATTAGTAAACCACTGATATTCAATACATATGAAAAGATGGCAACAGTTTTAGCATACCTATTAGCATAATCTTCTTCCCTTTCCTCTTGCTACCTGGAATTAATATAACATTGCATTTATGAGTATTATTAACTGATACTTTTACTCTAATGACCATATATAATGGCATATTTCGAAGTATAAAAAACCCACCAGAGTGACATATTTCAAAAGACGCTTTTTGTAGTGGCATTTTACGATTTCGAAGAGTTGGCAAGCGGAGTATTTTTTTTCGTTACCCATTCTTTTGGTGTAATAATCATACACAAGATTTACAAATGATTGTACCTATAAATAGCCCTAGTGCATGCATGTAGGTTCGTTCCATCCATGTCAGCACGTATGTAAATTGTTTTTGTAGATCTTTGCTTAGTAACTGAGGGCACTACTCGTTTAGGGTTGGTTTATCAAACATATATACTTATTACTTCAAGTGTTCAATTTATAGCGTGTTGTGTAATTTTGAGTTTTACAGGCAGTTGTGATTTTGAAGGTTTACCAGCGCATGTCGACTCGTGCATTTTGCCAACAGAGCAGAGGCACGCGAAGGCGGCAGACTCGTTATTATATCGACACTGCCCGCCACTCGCACTGCAGGAAGAGCAGTCCCCAGCGTGCCTGTCCAATCCAGGATGAACCCGCTCTTCAGGAGTCGACTATAGTTTGCCGCCGTCAAGATAGCCGCCTCCGATCCAAGCACCGGGTGGTAAGTGTACATGCAGTTTCCGGTGGGTATTGCGGGTGGCATGTTCCGGTCGTAGCTCCCGCCGAGGTATACGGAGATGGGCCAAGCGCAGCTGGGCACGCCGGTGGCGTTCACATAGTCGCGCCCACGCGGCTTTGTCTCGTTGCAGCCGTAGAGGAAGCACAGGGCCCGGTTGGTGTGGCTGATCTCAAACGGGGCAAGAGGTAGGATGGTCGACATGTTGAAGTCGATGCAGCACACGGCGTCGGTGCCGTGGGTCACTCTGTTGTGGGACACGAGGAAGGACCTGGTGCCGTAGTCGATGTCGTGGACGCGGATGCCAGAGCCCCTCAACGAAGCCGAGGTGCTGTTGCCGGTGCACCGTAACTCGAAGGCCGGGTGGCCGCAGGAGGAATTCGATGAATCACTTGGGCCGCCAAGCCAGAACGGGTACTTGATGGGGAGTTCCCCGCATGTCACCGGCTCACACTCGGCATGCGCACATTAATGGAAGAGGAACAACGAGAACAAGATGGAGAGTAGTGAGGTCGGATACATGCCAACAACCTTATCTCAGGGGACAAATTTCGTAAACGAGGAGGATGGCTAAAGCTCAAGTGAGTGAAGGACGAACATAAGGGAGATGATAATATATATAAGCGGTGTTAGCCAGCAATTTTTTTCTGTGGGGATTAGGCAACGACTTCGATTGATTCTGTCAATGTTTTCTTGTTTCCCATACCAACTAGAGGGAGTCAACATGAAACTGCAACAGAAGCCGGGTACAACGTTGTCCAGCGAAGACGCGGTAACAAACCTAGGGTGGTTTGTCAACGTCCAAATGTCTTGATTAATATTTAGTTGGCAATGTTCCACGGTTTTGTGGCAAACATATTTCCAGAACTAATCCATTAATTGTTAAATGTTTAGAGCAAGGAGAAGTTGTCATAAAAGATGCCGACGATCTGGACATTGTACTGGATGCATGGTTCATTATGAATGCCACACTGTCACTACAGTTCCATAATTTTTTTGAAGCAAGTAGTGGAGCATTGCTTGTTTCGGGTCTATTAGATGCGCTTCAGGTTTTCAACTGGCAATGTGTCGTCTAATTTTATGAGTTTAGCAGTTATTTCAATTTAGAGGCAATCGACGTGCGCTTGGTGGGTTGGGAGGAGAAGAAAGAGGCCATGATCGAGAGCATGAACATGGCCGGTTGCATCATGCATGATGGATGGCGTAGGTGATATCACATTTTAGATGATACCCTTTCTCATAACTCAATTAGGAAGTTTTAATTTTTTTTGAAAATAATGCGAATGTTCATAAGTTACGTGTCGGCAATCCCTAAAAGTTTCTTTATATGGTGGACAAACTGACATCATATCTTATGAATATTCACAATTTTTTTTGAAACTTTACAAATTTGACTTTTGAGGAGTGGTGTCATATGTGTGGTATCATGGTATCACGTGAAGTGTGGTATCATGTGATGTTTTTCGAGCTATCTTCTTGGTCAATAGATATGTTGGTTGTGTTGTACGTTTGTTTGGTTTCTTCTCTATATGTTGGACTTCCTCTTATCAACAGATTTGGGAGATCAGTGTTGCCTTGAACTCTTTCAGGGTTGACAGAGCAAAAGTTAGCTCCAACTTGTGTGGTTCTAATTATTATTGTTTCACCAACACTGTTTCAGTCTGGGAATTTGTCGGGCATTGGTGGGGGTTAACGTATGATGAAGATATATAGAATGTTCCTTCATATGATGTCAGTTTGTGTGACTGGGGTTTTCCTCGTTGTACAAGTAACAGAGACAACGACTGATTCCATCACTAACGCATGCATTTGCTGTTG